AACAATGGCAGGAAGATAAACACCTTCCCAGCAGGGCCCTGCGGAACCCCGATTACAAGATTATTTCCTCAATATGGAAGAGCTGTCAGCAACAGAGCCCTCAAGCGTGCCAAGGAAGACGAACAGCATCATGCAACTTCAGCTACCCGTTGTGAGGTGTTCGATGGCTGGAGAAGCAACTGGTAAAAACAACTACAGTGACAATTTCCCTTTGATCTAAAAGAAGCATAAAAACAGTCCTTACCTTATAAATCCTTATAAATTCAAGGTGATCCATTTTGGTACCGTTTTGTTTATTTAAGACATTTACAATAAGCCTGTAAAAAAATGCTCTAATAGCCAACTAAAGGATAAATTTCGTAGAACCGATACCAAAATCCACACCACCTTTGACAACAACAAATGAGCCTAAGAATCAGAGAAAATCAGAGCAAACGGACTGCAGACACAAGACTCTGCACAACTAGTTTCAAGACCCCACGTTAACCTTTTCACCTGAAAATATTACTGCCCACCAGCTGGTCAGTAACATGCATTGTGCACTGCTCTCAAGCTGCAAGCACACTTTAGACTACAGCAGCATCAAATATGCAAGGACTCTAATAAACTGTGCTGTGAAACATATTCCACCTGTTGGACAAGGAACTATCTTTTAAAGAGTGGCATGGCTTTTTCGTCGCATTGGTCCAAGAAAAAAAAATCTAAATTGTCTTTAAATCTTTAACAAAAGAAATCTGAGACTAAAAATGTAGTGTACTGCCACTAATTCAAAATAACAAACCTGCATAACCTTAGTTAAGCACGGTTACAAAATCACCAGAAAAAACAAAAACTGAATACACAGAGTCTAAACGGAGAACTACCAGAATTCAATGCAGACTATCCAGTGGCGTTTAAACGAATTATTTGGAAATTCAGATACAATTTTTAGATGGCACGACCTGTAACACACTCCTGGAAGTAACACTATCAGTGTTAACACCTGAACTCTTCCCCCTTCAAGAGCTGAGCAGCACCAAACTGCACACTATATTACAGCAAATGCCTTAGTATTGCTATGCCTTTAGTAATTTCCAGCTCAAAACTAGCACAGGAGGGTCAGTATACACCCAACTTATTCTGCAATACATCCAGCAGCCTCTGCGCTCACACAGTACATACTGAAATGTCACTCTCGCATCAGGGCTGTAATCTGAAATGTATAAGTAACATTGCATTTTTCTGCATGGAAGCAAGCAACGAATGTTCCAGTCGTTTTTTTAATTTTTCTCTTGTGTCAAAATAGATCAGCCCACAACAGGTACATACAAGGGCCACTCTTGTAGTGTAAAAAAACAGCCTTCACTCAGCTCCATGGTCCTTTCATGAATCCGAGCCGTACAAGCACACTGTCCACACAGGCAGACACAACCAGACTGCATTCGGCAGGACTGACAACTAGTTCATTCTCTCCGAAGTCCTTGCTTAAATAAAAACAGAGCAGGATCACATTTCCAGCTGCCTACAGTAGTGAATGACATACCAACCAAGTCAAAACTAAAATGGCCGGTTTCGTTTTCTTTCTCACTAAATATAAAGAATGTAATAGAAAACCGACAACGAGATAATAATAAACACTTTATTTATCTCACAGGAAAGGAGGTCCTCTTTACTGAGGCATGGCCATTACTAGAACTAGCGTTTCAAAAGAGTAACTACACCACAGATGCATTTGCCCGTTAACAAGTCTGTCCCCGTAACCACAAAGGCACAGTAAGAGAGCCTGCATGCGTGCCAAGGTCACGAAATCTGCACTTTCAGGATCAGTAGAACAATTCACTTTAACAATGAGCCCCTATTTCCCCCCTAGTTGAATTCACAGGCTGTGTTCATGAGACAAACTCCTAGTGCCCAAACAGAAGGTTCACCTGGACTTTACTGATGCTCAGAGCGCCTGACCATCTGGGTGCCTTTTGCCTTCTTCCCTGATGCTGGTTTTTCCAAGACCGAGCCACACATGAAATCCGAGATTGCTGGCCCTGCTGGGCTCCATGCTCACCCCCACCACGGAGCAGCAAACAGTGAGAAAGTACAGAGAGCCCTGTCAAGACTGAACCCAGCGTCAGGCTCCTCCTGACAGGTAAGGAAGCATCCTGGATCACACAAGCAGAACAGCTAGGAAATCCACTGGCATGTCAGACAAGCCTTCTAGTCCTCTGAAAAAGAGCATCTGATACATTTGTGCATTTGCATTTAGAAACTTGATGTAAGAAAACATTCTCGGAAGATCGGTTTTACAGTGAGGATTTTAAGTGGCATTTGAGAGTAATTAGGCACGTTTGTAATTGGCATATTAAAGCTTTTCTAAAAATATTTCATGTTTGCTGCAGTTCACTCATGTGACTCTACTCCAGGGGTGGGAACACTGCAGAGCAGCCAGGACTGAGACCATAAGCTGCCAAGCAAAGCAAAGCAAAGCAGAAAGGCTGTAGCAGTTTACATATGAACAGTCACATGTATGCACTACTAATACAAAACAAATCTGCACACACGCACACACAGGAGCTGAAGAAACACACTTGCAAGAAAGCGCTTCACCAAAGGAAAAGCTCAAACAGAAATTCCAACCACAAAAAAAAGAGCTGACGTAGGAACAGCTTTCGACTTGTGCTGCCTTCAACTCAAAACTAGAGTACCGTTTAAGGCCATGTATAAGTCAGAAATCGAGTGTAGGCACATTATAAGGTTTCTTTCTGTGCAGAGCAGTGGGTTTTTGGCTTCCTGCTGCACACTGCCCTGCCCACGATCAGGTCAAGTTCATCTTGCCGTTCTTGGACCAGTAACCCAGGACGGGCTGTACTGTCTCCCTGCCTGGGCTCTTTTCTGACAAGCCCTTGCCCCTGCGAGGGAGGAGTGAGCTTCTGTTCCTGCACCTCTTCCTTGCTCCTTTCTCCTGACTGCATCTGCAACCAGTTCCCAGCACAAGACTCAGCACCTCAGCTTACTGTTGGGTTTTCAACTACTTTTCAGCTGCCTGGAATCCCGCTTTCAAGAACTGGGGGGAGATTAAATGAAATGTATCCAGTTCGCAAGGTTCAAGATTATTACAGACTGCAAAACAGGATCTTTGATGACCCATTATGCGGGAGCTCTGTCTCATCCAAAGGTCAGCCCCTCCAACAGCACAACGTCTTTGGTCATCACAGTGGGGGCACTGCTGTGGAAACGTAGAGGGTTCACGGATCATGTCACCAGGGTCTTTGGGACACGCTGACACTTCACAGGGGTCTGAGCTTCACAGAGCTGGAGCCCTTCCCTTCAGCTCAGCCCGACCGCAGGGTTCAACAGCCCCCCGACAGACATTCCACATCTACACGCCGGGCATTACACCACAGACTCCTACCACCCCGTCTCAACGGGACCAGCGGGGCTCTTGTCTCCTCCGTCTCCCGCAGTTGCTAGCTCCTGGATAGCTCCGGGAAGCAAACCCGGGCTCTTCAGCGGAGCACTGCCCCACACAAGCCCGACGCCAGAGACACAACTCAAGGAGCCTTCTTACCTGGGCTGGTATCGCTCAGAGGAAGCTCACCAGCAACACCACCAGTCACCCCGGACTGAAAGCACCCCTGGGCGAGAGTGCGAGAAACACGCCAACCCCAGACACCCCTCTCGGCAGCTCCCATTGAGGTTTCATCTCTGGCTGCGACGCGCTGCCGCCCTTACGAGCTCAAGATCGATCCTGCTCTTTCTCAGGCTCTCAGTCATACCTCCCCTATTCGTCTCCCCATCTCCCTCTGCCCCCAGATCCGCCTGTCACTCCACGCTGGAAGCATTATGCAAATTTATTCCGAAAACTTCTCCGAGAGAGCATTCAATTTAAAGAGACGTGCACAAATGAAAAGCCCCCCCCCTGCCAGAGCTGTTCACAGACCCCAGAAGGGGAAGTCTGCATTTAGCACCAAACCAGACACAACCAGGCACGTTTCAGATCGTTCCTCTTTGTATGTTTTTTTTTAGTGTTGTGTCAGTCACACGCTAGCCTTCTGAAACCCAAAATAAATACGCTTCCTTAAGTGACCACTGCCACCGACACAGAAGGGCGTTCTTACGTCCAGAAACTGCACAGTCTTCTTCAGGGGGACTCGAGGACTTTCTTATCAATATTTTACACCATTTCCAAGCGCATGTATCGAAATCGTTTCCAGAACAAGAACTACGTGCAAAGGGCAACTGGAAAAGATAAGGGCAGGGATGGTGATCTCCGAACAAATCCGTATCTACCAGTCGCCCATGACCTTTATTTCAGTAGTTCCTGAGGTTTGGCAGCACGAATTAGTTATGTAGGCTTGCTCAAAATTTGAATAAAGGTTACAGTCCGTGGCGTCTGGCTAATAACTCCTCCTTGTCTCCGTTTAGGTTCATCTTAAATCTCCGTCAAGCTTGAAGTCTTCTGACAGCAGCAGAACTTGATTTCCGCGAGTTTCTCCACTCGGGCCCACAGACGGAGCCTTTTTTCTGCCCCTCTCCGCACTTTCTCCACTCCACGTGTCCAGCTGTGAGGGGCCGAGCACCCCCGGCCGACACACACACGGCGCAAAGTTCACCTCGGGTGTCCGGGGAGGACCTACCAACACACACTGCGGTCCAGAAAGAAACAAAAACACGCTCCGGTTTTCAACTCGCTCCACCCCGCCACGGACCCCTGAAACCCATCGCCGAAGCCTCCTCCTTTTGTCTCTCTCAGCTTTTTGTTCGCAGGGTGAAGGGTGAAGGGTCTACCCCCACCCCACCCCCCCGAGTGTCACTGACAGCCGTGGGCTCCGCTGCTGGCAGCCCTCAGAGCCGGGGGCCCGCCCGGAACACAACCGCGACAGGACCGCTCCAAAAAAAAAACCACACAACAGAACAAAAACACCGAACCTCTCGCTTTACAGACTCCAATCGGTTCCACTTCTTGAACCAAGGTGAAAGATTCGTTAGCTGAAAACGAAACGAGCCATTCATTTGCGAGGAACACCTACCCCTTCACTTTCGAGTGAATCGCCGAGACTTTTTACAGTGCTCATCCACTGCTGCCACGACCCACAAGCCGTCGAAGCACAGCAAGGGCCCGTCTGCACTTCTAGGAGAACGGCTGCGTTTACACCCCCCCACCGTGCGGCCGTCCAGAAAAGGGTCTGCACAGGGTCCGAGCGCGTCCTGGGGGGGTCCGGCGCCGGGGACGAGGGGGCGCAGGCAGGAAGACGCCCGGGCGCGCTGGCTGGAGTACCCACCTGGAAACTGGTCGGAAACTGGAGGGGGTGGGCGCACTTCCCTTTACAAAAATACTGGTCAGGCGGCAGGCCGCTTAGCTCAGCGTTTAAACAGCGGCGCAGCTCCGGGAAAACGATTACGAAAAAAGGCTGATGAGTCGCCGCGACACGGGTGCCGTTCAGAGGCGATGGCTCCCCGAAATGAAAGAAAAAACAACAATAACCACCCTCCGACTCCGGAGCAATTTCAGTCCGGAACCCCGAGACGCCGGGCTGAGGTCCCCAGCGTGTCTCTCTCGCACAGGACCGGTCTTCGGTGTCCAGCGGCGTGGACGGGTCCCCAGCGATAGGACGCGCCCGCGCATTGTGACGCCACAGACGAGGGCCACGCCGCGCAGTGACACGCGGGAGAGAGGCAAGGCTCCCTCGGAGACGAAGGACGTGTAGCCCTGCAGAGGGGCTGGGGACCTGTGTCCAGATCCCGGGGGCAGGTGTCATGCCTGCAGCAACAGCCCTGCTTGCTTCAGTCCTCTGCTCACCTTGCCAGGCACTGGTCCCAAGACCTGCCCCCACAGGCCTGTTCCACGTCCCACAGTCTAACGCCACTATCTTGCCTAACGGGAGCTTCCCCGCAACAGGTCCTCCAGGGGGAAAATGACATGATCTTAACTTGAGAGACAGAACCTGCCAGATTGCTCCCGGGAGCCGCAGGATGGACTGGAGGTCTCCTCGGAGCGGGTGCGAGTCAGGAGCGCACCGTCGCTAGCCAGCTCTGCCAGTGCTAGAGCACCAGCTGGGAACGCAGGAGCTCGAGGTCACGTGTAAAGCAACATTTCACATCTTACATCAGGGCCTTCTTTCAGCTTGTAGCCTGGCAATACTGTACTCCATCCATCACTGCCTGAACAGCCTATATTTTGTTGCAACCTCCGAGGTCAAACAACGAATATTTGGGCGCTACAGTACTTGAAACAGAGGTGTCTCACTGAGGAGCTGGAGCTGTCCATGAGCCGGAGCTCTATCCCGCTGACGAGCCCCAGGCTCCGGGGGCTAAGTGCACAGTGAGATGTTTCAGAAGTAGCGCAAGGGTAACAGCCAATACACACAGGAGCAGGAGTGCAATTCAATCACAGCAAGAAGGCAATGAAATGCCAGAAAGAGCTTGAAAAGAGGGAACTGCTGTTTTTGGTACCGTTATCGAACTACTGAACTAAGCTGCCCTTAGCTTCTTTTCCCCAAGGAAACAATATCTGGCGGTACTGTACGTTCGTACGTGTCAATCACGCCTCGGATTCCCAGTGGTGCCGTTTCAGCCTCGCGAATTCCAGAGGCCGCTGTCCGGTCGAGGACCAGGTGTGTGTGGAAGGGGACGGTCCACATCAAGCTGTCTGTGAAGGACAGGTCAGTCTACTGCACTCAGGCACAAATACACACCGTGGACTGCCCACAGGAGCACAAATGAAGTTTTATCAGTAATAGGGTTTGTGCTTTTCCACTGTTATGATGATCTAAGGGAACCACAGTTAAACCATTGTAATATAGGTCCCTAAATATTTTCAGAAACTATTTGTGTTGCTCCAGATTTTTTTGATACACTGCCATTTAATAATTTAAAGAATGCAAGCCTAATTTTACTACTGGATTATATCTATAAATTTGCAGGGGAAAAAAATGACAATTAGAAATAAATGGGAGGTTTAAAAAGTTATATCTTCACACACGGATTGGTTTTATTAAAACGATTATTAAAAGTGTATTAACATCATCTAAAATCAGTGCTGATCCTGGACTGAGATATTCAACGGTTGAAAAAAAACAGATTAAAACAGATACAGGTCTGTATCTCCTCTAAAACTAGTTCTCTCCTCTATTACTGGGATGTCACTTTACTGAGTAATTAAATGCCCCGGACAGCTTGGACACAAACAGCAGAGAACTGCAGAATATCACCTCGACTTTAAACCACACGTAGGAGGAATAAAATGACAAAAATGCATTTCTCTGTAGCATGAAAACCAGAAATTGGGAAAACAAATGCAGTATTTGCAACCTCCGACTGCGATGGTACAATGAGAAGGAAGTATGGGGGGGAAGGTATGAAATTATTTTTCGGGCACTCTGTACAAACAGAAACACACATCAGACGGCCGCTGCAATCTGTGGACATGAGCATTTTCTTTGATTCGCCTCAGAGCAGGAGGAGGGTGGGGAGAAGGTTTCGGTCTGCAGATATACAGTATGCGAAGGACGCAGGCAGAAGCAGCTGAAGGAGGGAACTGTGCAGACCCAGCTGGGGAAAAGCCTGACCTGGCGGTGGCCGGAACTGAGAAAGTGGACTCTCGCTCATCACAACAGTGTCCGCAGGGCTAAAGGGGTGGAAGAAACACATTTTCACTATTCGGGGTTCTGCAGACTAAGAAAAAATCCTGCAATACAGCACAGATTAAGAATTTAGTTTTTCCCCAATTAAAGATACAAAAATCGATTGACTGAGAAATTAGAATTGCTCACTAAAAATAGTTGCTCATTTAACCTTTTTGGCGAGGCAGCCAGTATGTCCTCCTTTCTGGAACATTATCGAAGTCCAAACTAAAACATATGCCAGTTTTCCTTAAAGTAAACAGAGAGAATTCCCTTACTGCTCCGCTCACCCCACCCGGCAGCGTCACGCAACAGGACCTCTTCACGTTCACCACCTGGGCGAGACGAACGCAGGCGAAAACCACACACCTGCCTGGGGACGCTGTCAACCCAGCGGCGGGCCAGCCGTCCTCGGGGCCAGCTCGCCCCGCCCCGCGCCCGACAAACAGGACCGCGCGCCTGTCGGGGATTCACGGAGGAGTCCAGGGACGGGGGAGAACGGACGAGCCTTCAGGGCCCGGAGGCGGGCAAGGAAGGGACCGTCTCGGGCCGGTCCTGCAGAGCTGAACCGCGGGCCGTACCCCAGACGAGCCACGCCAGCCAGACGTCACCCGACGCCCACTCGGGCGAAGGAGGAACCCCGCGCTCCCGGCGCCATGGGCCCGGGCCCGGGTCAGGACACGAGCCGACTGTGAGCGGACTCCCCCCAAGTGGCAGAGCTCAGTGAATTGTGGGAGAGGGTTAGGGTGGGACACAGCAGGCCAGGGTGTGAATCACACAACAGCCGTAATCAGGAGGGTACTTAAGAAAAAACTGAGCTTGTTATTGGAGAACTTTCCTACAAAAAAAAAAATGAAGAACGGTATACTTAATTGTTGTAGTTACCATATCCAAATTTGCTTGAAACACTAACTTACACTGTTTCACAAGGAATGCTAAAAAAGTAGCTCGGCGGATCCGATACTCCAGAATGGAAATGCGGTTCAGAAGAGGGATGAGAACATGATCCCTTTTAAGTCTTGATGGGCAACACCAGCTACTTACAGGATCTACTTCCTAAATTTACGCGTTCTGATTATTACAAGTCACAATTTGTTTCAGACAAAACTGTGAATGGAGATTACATCATGACGTAACCCATCTGTCCTTCCCGTCGACTGTGCATTAACATTTTAATTAGCGATCGTGCTTCTGTGTAGAAAAGAGGAAACGAATGGCATTATCAGGCAGACTGTTTTAAACAGAGCCAAGGCAGTAAATGTAGACAGTGTTGAAAGCTGTCAATCAAGAGACCACTGCCAGCCTAATCCCTAATCCCACGATTTGGCTGAAAGAGAACTTCTAAAACACTCCACCCAGAACTGTTCTACGGCTTTAAAATAAAACCAGAAAATGACCCAAAAACAGCACATCCTGTTGGGCGTGATCTGCTTAAGAGTTCACCATTTTCCCCTGAAGAAAATCACATTTAACCTGAGTGCACACAGGGAAGATGGGCAATACAATACAAGTCACAGGTTAGCTGCCATGGAGCTCTGTAAAGAAGCAAGACTCCTACAAACAGAACCTCTCATCCTCATCTCCTGTCCATCTCAGGAATGACTTTCCATTATCTGTTTTTCACAGAAAGACAGACACAAAGAAACATCAGGAAACTATCCCAACACGGATAAAGGCGACTTATAAAGTAAAAAGAAAACACTGAAAACTTTAGAACAAGCCAAGTCGCGCTTACTTGCTAAAACATTCCTGCCTTCATGCCGTGGCTTGTCTGTGAAAGGAGTGAGGGTCGAAGCAGGAATTGAGAGGTCAGTTCGTTTCAGATTCAGGCCAATTAACCTCCGCCCCGGGAGAGCTGGACCTCTGTCCCGAGAGCACAGCGAAAGACGGATGTGGCCGTGTTCGGGGGAGTCCCAGGACCTCGACGAGCTGCCGCAGTTTCAAGTTTCAGATTCCGAGCGGCGCGGCCGTTTAATCTTTCAGCGATGGCAAGACCGAGAGTCGGAGCCACCTGCCCGTGCGAACGCAAGACTTCGACACGCCGCGGGGCCTGCGATCACCAGCAGCACGTTTGTGCGTTTTCAAGGAAAAAAAATCTTCATGAGCTCAGTCCCGCCCCATTCCTCGCACCTCTGGTCTGGCATCCACACTCACCTGGTGCCCCCTTCTCACAAACTCTCCGTTTGTTTTTAAGAAAAGGAACTCGCTTCCCCACTAGAAGTAGGGGCGTCTCCCTGCTTCCCGCGCAGGTGAACACACTCATTCTACAGCTATGTAAACACGAACTGTAACCGGATCCTAGCGCTGTAATGAGCCGGCCTGCCTTTTTCACAGCCCGCAGCTACATTTAGCAACACTGACACAAACACAAATGCAGCGGAAAACAGCGAGAGAATTCTGTGGCTCCCACCGTGGGGACGGATGAAGAATTTACCAGAAACACAGCATGGAGATCAGAGCACAGCACTGCTGGGCAGCAAGGCTGCAAACAGGCCGTCCAGGTCAGCTGCATGAGTGAGATACCTGAAGCGAAACGCACAGATGCTGCAGCTGACACTGGGAAACGAGTGTCCGGCGACTGAGCATGTTTCAGAGCTGACAAACGTAGACGTGAAGTAAAAAATAAATACCGCCTCAGCGGCTGTAGTCTTAAACTGAGAGTTAAAGAAGAGCAATCTGGGTAAAAACACCGACATAAGGGTGGGTGATGCAAATAACCCCCAGTGTGTACAGCGTTTCAGGAGGCGTTGGGACGGTGAACACTGCAAATGCAAGGGATTAAGACAAAAAACACCTTTAATCGGAAACAGGAATTTCATCCAGTGCCTGTGCTTAGTTGCATTTACCTCCATTTGGAGAAGATTCAACCCCGCAGGGTTTGCAGATCTCAAGAGCCCCATCAATGTTCACCGGGTCCTAAGAGTTTATACCTCATACTCTTCGAATTTCATGTATGAAATAAGCTCACTTCTGATTCTCATTTCTTTCTAAATCTGTTTTTTCCAATTAAGCTCAAAAAGCATAATATTTAGGAGTTCGGGGGACAGATTTAGAGAACATGATTCTCTTTTGTTTTTTAGAAAAAATAATCAAAACGCGGAAGCTTTGTTGACATTTGTTCTTTGCTCACCTTCAGCAGGAAGCGAACGAGTTACAACAAGCCAAGTTTCTAATACATCAACAAGTGCCACATGCCAGACACCTCGGACGGAGAAGGTTGTACTGCACTGGATTGGAGATGAAGCTCTTTTTTCATGACTCTACGAAGCTCAGGCTTAACATAGCAGAGACTGCACAAACACTCTTGTTCACACATCCCAATATGCACATGTCCAAAACTGCTGAACATTATTCACTTAGAGCCCAGGCTGCCACCTGGGAAATGAAAAACTCCATCCATGGACAACAAACCGAAGACTAGCTCCCGATTTTTTGGAAAGCAATTGCAAAACATAAAAAGTCTTATATTGATATCTATTTAATTTAATCTAGCTTTTTAAGTAATTCTCAGACATTTCCCTTCATATCGTGAGAAGGTGTGTACTATACCCTGTGCTCTCTGCTCGACTTGAGTTAATGTGCAATCAGGAACAAGAGCCAATTGTACAAACATTTTCAGGCAAACAACAACAACTGCATCCAAGATCTAATAATGTCACAAACATGAGTCATCCAATAACAGCTATCTAAAAATGTGTTAAATCAGACTTTGAAAATAAACTAAGCTTCACAACCGGTTTCAACAGTAACCATGAAGACAAGTACTATTTTTTAATTTTTTAATGTAATCCAGTAAAAAAGTCCAGTGACTTCAACACAGGCTTTCAAATTTGTAATAAATATTACGTGAAAATAAACCCTGTATAGTAGTATTTACTGTATAGTAGTAACAATCGTATTACTATGCAAGAGGGAGAATTCAGAAATCAGGGCATAATTAGCTACTAACGAACGAACCGGGGGTACTGTACTGAAGGAAATGCCATACGACGCACGAGATGATCAGCTGAGCTCCTAACTACGTGGTCGTTAAACCACACCAGTGACACTTCGTAAGAGTACGCATGTTAAACCCTGGTCTTGCTGAAATCCACTTTAGGCTCGCTCGGTCTGGATTCCCTCACTTCAGCTGGCGAAGGACTTTTCTCCCTCACACGCTAGCCTGCCGCGGAGA